ATGGTGCAGGAGAGGAAGGCCCTCTATGAGGTGGATTGATTCAGTGACTGGGATAATTGGGATGGGAGTGTCAGAGACAGTGCGATTGGCACAGGACATAGTGGAGTTTAGGGCTGTTGTACATAGGGTCGCTATGAGTCGCAGGCGATTTGACGGCACATAACAACAACAATAACAACAGTGGCTACTTTGAATAATGTGGCAAACAGCACTGTTGTTCATGTATCTTTTCAAGTTCCTGTTGGATATATGTCATATATGGATATATATCATAAACACACACACGTGCACACATTATTGCTATGTGTCATTGTGTTAGATATGACCTATAGCTGACCCTCTAGCAAGTTTTCAGAGACAGTAAATCACAGAGGAGGTTGTTCATCTTTCTCTCATGAAATAAAAATAAATGGATTTGAACTGTGTGTCTTTAGGATGGCAATGCAGCTATCACTGTGCCACCAGAGCTCTATATCTATCTATCTACACACATATACAGATGTGTGTGTATGTGTGTGTGTGTGTGTGTGTGTGTGTGTGTGTGTGTGTCTCCGTGTGTAGTGAAATTGCTGGTTCATGTGGTAATTCTCTCCAAAGAAAGATGATATTCTCCTCTTGTGAGATTTGACTGAAAATCCACTGTGGGTCAGTTACATGTCAGTTCCGACTCAAAGGCAATGACCTTCTTGATGGAAATTGTATATTTACTTTTCAAAGGAATGTGCGCCCTACTCTTAATTCTTTTGAAAGGACAGAACCAGTTAGTGAAAATACAAAAATCTAAATGTCTCATTTTCCCACGAGGATAAATAAAAATGGCAAATGGGTTCATTCTGTTTTATAGACTATTTGTAAAGACAGTATTGACACAGAAAGGGAGTCTGGTGTGCAATGTGAGAGTAGGTGTAGGATTTGAGTCAAAGGCAGTCATTCCAAGTATTATAGACAGAGAATGGGAACTCCTGAAAGTCGTCTTCAGGCGGTCCAGATCTAGAAGGGACGATGGTCAACACAAGTGATCCCCATCTCAGGGCCTTCTGAAGAGGAGACTCTCAGGACTGGAAAATATGGGAAAGTAAATCCGTCCAGCTAGAACTAGGACAGCTTCTGACTGATTTCAGTGCGCGTCCACCCATGTAGTATGAGTTAGAACACGTCTCACATTTCTCAGCTGTTCTGTGAGATGGTCATTCCTCACAGGTTTAAAACAGCCGAGGTCAGCCCCATCTTGGAGGAGTAGAGGCCACAGCCAAACGCACAGTTCCCTCCCCTGGGCTCTGGCCCACTCACTGCCTCCCCATCTCCAGACAGTGCACCTGAGACACATGGCCAGAGACCCACACGGAATGACAGGCGGCTCCTGCCAGTCACCACTCCCACATACCTGGAGTTCTGCCATTATTTTGTCTCCTTCTTCCTCTTCTTCTTCCTCCTCATCCTTCGAGGAGGGGGTAGTGACTGGTGGTGGGACTTGGGTCCAGGCAGGTGCGGTCTCCTCTGTGGGGCATTTTGTGACTCGAGCCTGTGGGGTTGGCCCAGTATCTTCACTGCTTGCCTATGGGAGATGCAAACCACAGATACTGACTGACCACTCCTGTGCTGCTGGCAAAGGGAGACAGAGCACAAGAACACAGGCTCCCTTAAAACGAGCTGCATTTTATCCTTTTGCATGGAGTTTTCTTTGCACAAAATTTCATTTTAGTCACTAGACTAGCAGCTAACAATAAAACAGCAACTCTTCAAAATTCAGAGCATTTTTAAAGCCCCTCCCACCCTACATCTCCTTGGAAATGGTATTTTATATTTTGCATAAAAAAAAAAACTTGCAAAGTTAAGTGGAAGCTAACGCTAATTTAGCATCTCTTTGTACAGACTGCCACACCTGTGTTACCTAATCTCAGTTAACTCTGAAAAATGTGCTTCCAATTGCTTCCCTCTCCCACCCCTATTATTGATTTTCTGAAGATGCCTTGCTAGTGAAGTGATGAGCGGTTTGCATTTTACATTGCTGCGGTTTCAAAGTTAAAAACTGATTGCCATTGAGTCTGAATCAACTCATAGCTAACGCTTCAGCAGGTTTTTTGAGGTTGTAAAAGTGCAAGGAAGAGACTTCCCATCTGTCTCCCTTGGAGCCACTGGTGGATTCCAACTGCCAGAGACACTGATTTTGAGTGAGCAGAGCAATTATGGACCCCACTATCAGAGCTCCCTAGAAAAGTCAGGGAAAGATACACTTTTGGTGGGAGCTCTGGTCACCTAGTGGCCAGAAGCTGCACTGCAATCCCAGAGGTACACAGTTCACATCCACCAGATGCTCTGCTGGAGAAGGAGGGGCAATCTCCTCCGGTACCAGTCAGATCCGTTTTAATGGTACACATGAATTTTTTTTTTTTTTAAAGGAGATACACTTTTGGTGCTGAATCTAACCAAGTAACATTGGCTAACATTTCACTGTGTGCACCCTGGATATCTGATTTCTTTGACTCCACTACTTCAAATGTTCTCCATGAGAAGATAGAGGGTCTTCTCTGAGCATCATCTAAACATAGGGTCATTTTCAAGGGCTTAGCCCATCAGACCTTAGCAGTGGTGTTCTCCTTCCTGGTGGTGTAGACCACATCGCCCGACCTCGTGGTGGTGAGCCCGGATCCTGGCAGGTAGCTCCGCCGTGGGGGTGGGGGAGGAGGAGGTGGGGACTTCCCCCCCAGCCTGTCCAAGTCTTGTTCTGAATTTGGAGAATCTTCTGGAAAAGAATGTTGCATTTTTTTAAAAAGAACTATCTGTTTTCAAAATAATGTCCAGAAAGGCCCATGGTTTTCTATAACTAGGAGGCAGAAGACCCTGGGAAAAAACTAAACATGCTTAGAAAAGTAGAAATTCAGAAAAAAATAAGCTCCTCAATGGAATAACAGAATGATTACAACAATGGGTTTAAGCACAGAGATTCTGAGGATGAAGAGAGATCAGGCATGGTTTTGTTATGTTGTACTCAGGGTTGCTATGAGTCAGAAAGGACTTGATGGCACCTAATAACAACAATAACATCAAACCACGGTCATTTCAAACCAAAATACTTAGCCCAGTGCTAATATGTTGATACTGATTCATAGCAACTCCTGTCTTAGCTATTTCTTGGGAGAATACAGGACACAGATGAGAGTAAAGAACAAAGCCAAGGAGAAAGTGGTCATTTTGTCATGTTTGCATTGTTTGAAAAGAGTCTCTACTAATAAAAAAAGGAGAATGTAAATTTATAAATTGTTGTAGGTGCCATCAAGTCATGTACAATTCACAGCGACCCTATGAACAACAGATCCGAACCCAGCCCTATCCTGTGCCGTCCTCCCTGCCCTGGACACACATGAGCCTTTTGCTACAGTCACCATGTCAATCCATCTCATCAAGGGTCTCCCTCTCTTTGCTGACCCTCCACCTTTTCAAGCATGATGTCCATTCCCAAGAAATAGCCTCTCCTTGGCCTCAAATGTTAGGAGACAGAAGTATACTAGTGAGTAGGAAAAGAGGCATGGCGTAATCAATTTTCAAACAAGCAGCCTCACTCCTGCTCTTTCTCAATATTCTTTGCTGGGATTTTGTCCCAGAGCTCAGAGAGCAGTGGAACCAGAAGCTCAGAGTCTGGAGACAAAGTCCTGTCAGGACTATCTCTCTATGGATCTGGCCACCTCCCAGGAGAAGGTTTCTTTTTTCTGAGCAGTCAGGACTGTGTAGAGGACAATTACATGTAAAACTGCACTTAAGACTTAGAAAAAAATAAAACAACAAGTGATAACCAAAGTGAGGAAGAATCAGTGAGCTATTTGCCAAAAAAGCAAAGGCAAGTGACCAGCATTCAGAAATCAAGAGAGTAAATGTAGTGTGAATTTTTTAAAAAGTCTTGAGCAAATGATCAGAGTATGATTTTGCCTCATGCCTGATGGAAAACTCCCACTCAAACTCATGATGTGGATTCCAACTCACTGTAACCCATTATCAGGTTACTGAGGCTGAAAACGACAACAGTAGGAGACTGTCTGTCCATATTCCATCCAAGGAGCTGCTGGTAGATCCAAACCGCCTGAAATGCTAGGCCTTTGCATTAGCAATACAATTTACTACATGCAATGACATCAAAGTTCTGGTACCCGAGGGAGGTGGGCTTTTAGGGGACTGTGCATCAGACACACGGCTTGTTCTGAAGCCACAATCTGGACTCCTACGGGATGCCTCAGCTTCCAGGCTTTGCTCAGGCTCACCAGACCAAAAGTGTTCATGGTTTTCTCTTTTAGGGTATAACTGAGGTGGAACTCTTTCAAAGTTGCCATCACTTCTCAGCCACCTGTCCTTATTATCTAACAGTCCGTTTATACAAGAGAAAATAGAAGCTGTATTTTTTTAAACCCAAGGTTAGGATTTTACCTCATTAGTAGACAAACAGAAATGAAAATAGTAACATCTAGGTCAAAGAAATGAAAATGACAGAAACTGTTGTTTATAGTTCAGCAGTGGATACTCTTAAGTATTTGTGGTGGTTTGTGTATTACCAGGGCATTCTGGTACACTAACATACACGGTCAATGTGCTGACCTACAAATGGAAAGGTTGGAAGTTTGATTCCACTAAGAGATGCCTTGGGTGAAAAGCCTGGAAATCTTCTAAGAATTTACCCACCAAAAACTTCATGGAGAAAGACTGGATTGGCTGTTGACGTGATTGTAGCAGATATACTAATGAAAGCTTTCTGAGAAATATCAGGCAGTGGGGTTTGGTTTTGGATATTTCAAACAGAAGTTTAAAAGAAGAAAACAAATTAGGAAGTTTACATTTTTGGTTTTACTCTAGAAGAATATGTAACTCAAATGAGGTAAAAATTGAGGTAAATTAATCAAAAGTAATGGTTTATTTTGCTGTACAATCATGTGCTGGGACAGTTATGAAAACTAAAGTATCAAGAAAAAAATTAAGCAAAACATAAATACAACATATTTTCTGCAAATAAGGTGTGTTACAAGTTTGTTGCAATCCTTTCACGTATTCATTTCTTATGCACTGTGTACTTACATATATGTGTGTGTACATTATCTCTGTGGGTGCAGTATATGTGCAAAAATATGTTAATAAGGTAGAATATTTTCTCCACTGGACACTCTCCATGGAAAATTTGGGAGAGCAGAGCTTTCCTTCCAAGGGCCCTTCCCTTCATGGGCAGCTGCTGCTGAGTCCTCCAGGTCTTGAAGAGACCACCGCAGCTGACCAGAGGAGGCAAGGGCGTGAGTGAGGACAGAAGAGGAGGAGGAGGGGGTTTTACTGAGGGGAGCTTTACAGAAACTTTGTGGAATGGAAACCTGGGAGGAGAAATCACAGTGACTATAAAACATAAACACGTTAATGTTCTTTTGGGTATCCAGGTAAAAAAAAATTGGCAATTCTTTTTAAAGTTAATTTTAGTTGCCGAATGAGGCATCATTAAATGTGACCCTGCAAAGACACTAGGCTGCAAGTAAAGCAGAATGTTTCTGCATAATTTTAAGGTTAGAAAAAGTCACACGGCTATGTAACTGGTTGGAAATTTAGTAGGCTGAATTTTTAAAAGCTCTTTTCTATTATTATTATTTTTATATTATTATTATGGACTCTGATACTTTCATAGTCAAGTTGACTAAATGCACATTCTAGTAATTTTGCTGTAAAAAATGCAAATTTGGGGTATAATCCAATATCCTCTGAGGGCTCATGAAATCTAGTGTGTTATTTCTGCAGCATCTGAAAAGCCTTATTTTAAATGCAGGTTTCATCTTCACCCAGCTGGTGCTCTGAAGTGTCATAAAACCCACAGGAAATGCAGAAGCTGAGGATTTCAGTGTACCGGACATTGTCCTTGTATCCAAAAATGAACACCATTTCCCTGCTGTTGTCTCAGATAAAGAATAGTAGCAAGGCTGTAGGGAACGCATGGGATTTGTTCTTCTAATCTTTTAATTTTATATGTTTCTTGAGAAGTGAGAAACTGGTCACTGTGACCAGCACGTGTTGAAGCTGGTGCATTTGGGACAGAGACTTTCAACACCTCAGCAGATGCTCCTTATGGGGCCCCATCTCACCTGAAAGTTCTAACTTGTCCACTGGGGCTTCTCCCTTTGGCAATGAACTTGAGGATGGTGGCATCTCCAGGTTTGGAATTGACTTCATGATATTGGCCTGAGCTTCTTCCAGGAGTTTCTCAAACTCTTTCCCGTTGTAGTGGTCCAGATTGTGCCTTTTCTCCTCCCATTTCCTTTCTGCTTTCTGTAGCAAAACAGCAAGTGAAGACCATTTCACAAACAGAGGGGAAAGTTAATTAGCAGCTAAGAGAGTTTCTCAGGGTGGGGAGGAGGTGTAACACAGTTAGGATGTTGGTAAAACAAAGCCCTGGTTTGTTTTGCTCCTCAGACAATCTTTTCCAAGGTCAGGCTGCTTGATTCTTCTACCATCTGCTGCATCTTCTACAGCTAAATGGGCTTCCTTGGGAGCCCAAGTGATATTTATACAGAGAGAAGCTCACTCAGAAACCCAAACTCATTCATCAAATTATTGCTGGGCACTGACTCACACTTCAGCTAGGATGAAATAAAAAGGGGACACAAAAATATCACTTCAAAGGTATATACTCTGCCATCATATTTTTTTTTGTTATTGTTATTCCTCAATTTGAACTTTCATCACTGAGTAAAGGTAACAACAAACAGTAACAAAAATAAAAACACTCTGGGTAAATAGAGAATCCTATTGTTCTAGTTCCCATGTCTATCTAAAGAGTTGCTATATAACATTGTGGTCTCAAATTTTCATTTTTAATATATATATATATATATATAATTTATTTGTCATTAACAGTTCACTTTTAAAAAAATTTCCTTCTGAGTTTAGAGAGTGCATAGTAGTAACTAAGAAAACTGAGTGGAAAACAGTAGTTGTGTTGTTATGTGCCATCAAATAGCCTGTGACTCATAGTGACCCTATGTACAACAGAACCCTGCTCTATCCTGAGCCAAGTTTATTATTTCTGACATACCTACCCCCATTACCTCAGTCACTGAATCAATCCATCTTACCCAAGGTTTTCCTCCCCTGAATTGTCCCTCCACCCTCTCAAGCATGACATCCCTCTCCAAGGACTGGTCCCTCCTTGCAACATGTCCAAAGTAGGTCAGACAAAGCCCAAGAATCCTTGCCTCCAAAGAGCAGCCTGGTTTCGTCCTCTCCAGGATCAACCCTTTTGTTCTCTTTGCAGTCATGGTATATCCCATGGTTGTTGTTAGTGCTTCTAAATTGAGTACAGCTCATAGGCAACCCTGAGGTTACCCAAGAACAATTAAGTGTTCTGGACTTCACATTCTTCTCAATGTGAGTCATAATTAGGGGAATCACATATAAACATCAACAAAGACCCCAACTCAACAAGACAGCCCTGTGTAAGAGAAGGAAACCACTCCCAGCCCTGCAGCATCATGAAGACCCCAAGGGGACATGTTTTACCTATGAACAGGCCCAGGCCTGGTGAGGTGAGGGATTTGCTCAAGAGTTCCTCCATGTCATCTCTGCCCTATTCCCATCATCCTTTAATTTTTCCTCATAACATTATTATCAGCTGGCATAGGTTAAAGGAGCATTGGTGGGCCACTGCATTACCTACTGGGCTGAATGGTTGCTGGTTCAAACCCACCAGCCACTCTGTATAATCTTAGAAGAACGATGGAGGGTTGGCAAGAGTCATGGTTGACTTGAAGGGAAAGGGTTTGTCTTTAAGCATATATTTACTCTGTCTCCCTACAAGTAGATAAGTTTCTTGAAGGCTTTGTCCCTTTTGCTTTTTGTCTACACCAAGTGAGTCCACAGCAGGGGCTCAGTGATCACTGTGAAGCTCATCCCACTTGTCTGTGGCCAAAGGGGGAGCAGAGTGCAGATCTCTTCATGTGAAAGCATTTTCAGACAGCACTCCGAATGCCCCTCCAAGATTTTACACACACACACACAAACCTGTCTCTCACTCTCTCTCTCTCTTACACTTAGAGGGAGTGTTCAAGAAATATTTGTTGAATAAATGACCCATCATCACGACATCTTTTAAGGATTAAGAAAAAAGGGGCTGACCCCTGATTCTCCTGGGGAAATGTGTTTTCAGGCCTCTCCCCCACCCAGCAAGCACCGCTGATAGAATCCTAGTTGCGCTATCACATTTCCATTCCCTGCAGTGATAATGCATTCCTCAGATAGCTGACTCAGGTCAGGGGCACGGTCACTGACTTCGGAGCAAAGAGAAGTTACCTAGTGAAGCCTAATTATCAGAGCCTAACAGCAATGAACTTGACTTTCAGCAAAGGTCAGCTGAACATACTCAGCCTGAGTGACCCACCAGTGACGTCCAAGATAGGCTAGAGAGCCAGGATCCAACCTGCCTGGGATAGAGACCAATGGATGATGGGCAACTTGTGGGCAGTGACCCAAGAAAGCATAATGCATTATTTGAGTACTGATATCAGCTCCTGATGATATCTCTTAACTCTGTCATTGCTGTCAACTTTGAACAAGATTCCAGAAGCTATTAATTGTATGACTTAAAAGCAAAAGATTTTTCTATCTGCCACATGAGTTTATGATCTCATTTCCTCTTTCCATTTTGACTTCCTCTTTAATAAACTTTTCATTTCAGGCCAGGACTTCTAGATCCCTACCTCAATCAAGTCTGTCTATGTTTCCAGATTAACTTCCTGAACACCTAGGGTTTTGTTTTTTTTTTAATTTTTATTTTATTATTTTTGTGTGCGTGTACTGTCAAATCAGATCTGACTGGTACAGGAGGAGATTGCCCCTCCTTCCCCGGCAGAGCATCTGGTGGATTCAAACCGTGCACCTCTGGGATTGTAGTTGCAGCTTCTTGCCACTAGGCCACCAGAGCTCCCCTCTGAACACCTAGTTTTATTACTGGTCAAAAGCAGCAGCATTTCTCTGTCATAGGCAGAATAAACTTTCGCCATCTTAGACTCAAACTTGCCCATTTCTACCTCCAGACCTTTTTGCAACACGATTTCCTCTTTCTTGTTCTCGTTAGACAGGTTTGTTCAGGGTGACAGGCTTTCACCAGCACACCTCTATCCTAGAATGCCCTCACCACACTTCTCCACCAAGATTCTACTTATCTTTCAAGATCAGTGGCACTCGGCCACCCTCATCCTCAGAACATCAATGATGGGCCGAACCCGCTCACACTGGCTCTGGAGAACTCACTGTCCCATTTCCTCATCAGTCATTCACACCGGAGTCCTATTGCAGCTCATTGTCTCCAGAACATGATACTGCAGCAGTATTTACACTGTGAAAATTGGCAGAGGCTACCAATCAAGGCTCTTCCCCTCTCTTTCTACCAGTCCCCTACTTCCTTCTCTTCTTTCTGGTTAGGTGTCTGCACCCTTCTAATCTGGCTGTCGAAACCCATAGGTTTGTTGCTGTTTGGAGGGTTTAAGTCAGCCCCTAATTCCTGGTGATCTCATGCAATGATCCATAGACGTTTCAATGGTAGATTTGAAGAAGTGATTACCAGCCCTTTCTTCTTCTCTGCCTCTGTGTAGAAGGCTCCACTGACACCTATTCAGCATCACAGCACCACACAAGGTGACAGGTAACTGGGTATGAGGTACTGTGTATGAGGTACATCTGCCAAGAATTGAATCATGGGGAGAGAGAGAGAGAGACTTCTACCACAGAATCAATAATGCCTCCTGAATCCATTTACAGTTTAAAAACCCCCAGAACTACCTTTGATACCATCTCTGAATTATTTCTACAATCGTTCTGTAAAAGGACCACATGTTACACTCCCTTATAGCGGTCAAAGACGCGGAAAAAGGCCTCTACCTCAATAGACACGGCCCTGTTCTTGGAGCTCACGCTGTGGATTTCCTCGATGAACAGGCTCTGCATGGTGGAACCATTCATGGGTGTCTGTGGCGACTGAGGGGTGGGCTGCAAAGCAGAGGCCGCTTCCTGCGGGGCAGCTGGGGGGCTGGCCGGGTGCGGCACTGGGCCCCCAGGCAGGGCCTGGGCAGGGCCGAGCAGGGCCGAGGAGTGCTGAGACGGTGGGATGACGACGGGCGAGCTCTGTGCATGGTGCACGGTCACCACCTCCGACTTCACGTCGCCTGGGACCCCAGAGCCATGCAAGGCCTGGCTGGTGGCGTGGGACGCCTCCTCCTGGCTCCGCAGGACCTCGGCAGCCGTGGCTTTCTCCATCGCCATGTACTGAGCCGCTTGTGCTGCATCTGCGCCCTTGAGGAGCCCGTCGGTGACATGTCTAGAAGAAACCAGATACGGCAGGTTATCCACTGAAAACTGCAATACCTAAATCCCATTTTAGTACTGTGGCATATTCGAATGCCACAAATACTAAATTTGACTTGCCAAAGTCAGGCAAGAGTTCATTCCTAAATGAAACTATTCTAAGGCTCAGCATAGCAGCTTAGGGCTGAGGGTTTCCATGGTAACTTCCTGAAGCCTTCCATTGCATCCTAGATCACCTCAGCAGTTGCTCTTCCATCCTGTTCTCAGAGGTGATCTGTCCTATCTGATGGGGTGGCTGGGCATAAATGTGTATGATTCCACCAGCCTTTGCATAGAAATGGTGCTAAGTGGATTGTTGTTATTGTTATGCGCCATCAAGTTGCTTGCAACTCATAGCCACTCGAAGTACAGAGCCTGAAACCTGCTCTATCCTGTGCCAACTTTATTATCTCTGACACACCTACTTTGATTATTCCAGTTGCTGTAGCTAAGTGGATAGTAGTATTTTTAAATACTAAATTTTCATCTAATCTTGTAACCTATATGACTCTCAGATACACACAGTTCTAATTTCAAAAGTAACTGGAAGCCATTATGCTAAGTGAAATATATCAATCACAAAAGGACAAATACTGTATAACACCACTTTTATAAACTAGGGCAGACATGGAGGTGGGGTGGGAAGAGAATGGGAAAAAGAGTGGCTAGATAATGAACACTGCATTAGATCAGATGAGGGGAGAAACTGTTAGAAAGGAATATATGATTAGGCATTATACACATGACAACAATCAAGAACAAGGGGTGCACTGAAGGATGGGCTGGGGAGGAGAGAGGCGTGGGGGCAAGAAAATATGCAACAATGAATTAAAAAAAAATCAAATTAAAAAAAGAAAATAACTATGACAATGGGCTTGCGCAATGCAGAGATTGCAGGGTGATGCATGATGGGGCAAAGTTTAGAGTTGATTTGTTGTTTCCAAAGGTCTCTATGAGTTATCATCAACTTGATGGCATCTCACAACAATTTCAAAAGTGTCTTCCAAAGCAAAACTAAAACTAAGTTGCCACTAAGTTGATTCCAACATTGGCAACCCCATTTGTCAGAGAGCTCTGTGCTCCACAAGAGGTTGGTGGCTGATTTGGGGGATGCAGACTACCAGGCCTTTCTTCCAAGACACCCTCAAATGAACCCAAACCTCCAATCTTTGATTTTGCAGCCAAGAGTGTTAACTATTTACACCACTCTGGGACTCCAAAGCTTTGGGAAATCCATTACCACTCCCACTGACGAACATCTTGGGATGTTTGGGGACATTAATTCTAAGTTCTTGTTCTTCAAGTGGTTGTTATAGGACTTCCTCCTGTGTATTCAGCTGAGTCTTTGCTAAGTCAATCGGGACTTCCAAACCTCGTAGCTGCTTTCAGTCCTTACCCTCCACTGCTGCTGAGGCATGTGGTACTCATTGTCCATGTCCACCTGTGGCTCAGTGGAAAAGGTACGGCATTTAGGACATGGATTTGTGTTTAATTACAGTTCTACCATGTCCTAAGCAGCCCTGGTGACAGAGCAGGTAATGTATTGGGCTGCTAATTGAGAGGCTGTCAGCTCAAATCCATCCACTTCTTTGCAGCATAAAGGGGATGATCTCCTCTAACAAAGATTTACAGGTCAGCACACCCCACAGTGGGTCATCTTGAATGAACTCTATCCAATGGCAGGAGGTTTATCAAATCCTAGCTATAAAACATTGGGTAGAGAAATCATCGCACCATTTGGCACATCAGCTACTTTCCTGCAAAATATAATAATGACTATGAAGATGACCATAATGCCTTCCTCAGGCTGTGGTGATAATTAATCATGTGCTGAAGATTATCCAAAAATGACATCAACAAAGAACTGCCAGAAGGGATGGCTGGGTTTTTGAAGGGGTCATGGTACTTGGAATATTGTAGTTAATGTCAGATAGATCTTGGCTGAAAGCACGGAATACCAGAGGAATGTCTATCTGTGTTTCATTGACTATGCAAAGGCATTTGACTGTGTGGATCATGACAAACTGTGGCTGACTCTGAGAAGAGTGAGAATCCCAGGACACTCTTGATGGTGCTGAGAAACCTATACTTGGACTAGGAACACTGCATGGTTCAAAATTGGGAAGGGTGTACGCCAGGGATGTGTCCTATCTATATGATTGTGTTCAATCTATATGCAGAACAGATTATCCGGGAGCCTGGACTGTATGAGGAGAAATGTGGTATCAGGATTGGAGGAAGATTCATCAACAACCTAAGTTATGCAGATGATACAATCCTGCTTGCTGAAACTGAGGAGGACCTGAAGCACTTGCTGCAGAAGGTCAAGGACTGAAGACTTCAATATGGATTGAAGTTCAATATCAAGAAAACAAACATTCTCACCACTGGGCTTATTGGCAGCATCATGACAGATGGTGAAGAGATTGAGATTGTTAACAGCTTTAGTTTGCTTGGCTCCACAATCAACCCTCTTGGCACCAGCAGCCAGGAAATTAAAAGACGTATTGCAATGGGGAAGTCTGCTGTTAGAGATCTCTCCAAAGTACTAAAGAGTAATGATGTCACTCTGGAGACTAAGGTGTGCCTGATACAGGCCATGGTCTTTGAAATCCTTGTTAAGCATCAGAAAGCTGGACAATGACTAGGGAGGATAGAAGGAGAATTGATGCCTTTGAGCTGTGGTGATGGCGAAGAGTATTGAATATACCATGGACGGCTAAGAAAACGAACAAGTTCATTCTAGAGAGGGTTAAACCGGGCTGCTCCTTGGAGGCAAGGATTCTGGGGCTTCATCTGACATACTTTGGACATGTTGCAAGGAGGGACCAGTCCTTGGAGAGGGACGTCATGCTTAGGAGGCTGGAGGGACAGTGCAGGAGAGGATGACCCTCAATGAGACTGATAAGATTCAGTGACTGGGGTAATGGGGGTAGATGTGTCAGAGATGGTGAGATTGGCATAAGATAAAGCAGGGTTTAGGACTGTTATACATAGGGTCGCTATGAGTCGCAGGTGACTTGATGGCACATAACAACAATAACAACAAAATTACACTACATGTAAGACAGTGTCAAGCACATCATCTGATCTCTGTTTTCATTAGTGCCCATTGCTGTCTCCCTATTCCAGTCTCCTTAAAAATCTTTCCTTTGATTTGATGAGAGATTTTGCCTTCTGTGTCCCTCCTCTACTACTTCATTCTGTTTTATTTTTCTGTTTATTTTACTTACACTGACCTCCTAAATACAGGTGTCTTCCCAAAGATTTATTTTCTCTTGTCTTCTAATTCTAAAGGCTTTCTTTTAGAATACTTGTTTCTATGAAGATGATTTCCAGTTCTAAATCCTTTCTCTGTGCCTTCTCCCCACTTCCTTCCTACACTGAGTTAGTCACTCCACATTTCTAAGTGCCTTTAGGTGGGCAGCTCTCCTGAGAAATCCTTCCAGCACATCATATTCAATATGTACTAAACTACTGCAGTATCCCAACCCCTGGCCAGCTCTGAACTATGACTGTTCACCTGCTTTATCTCTTCTGCTGGGGTATGGTATTGTTGTTGTGTGCCTTCTGGTTGTGATGGACAGCAACCTTACAGGACAGAGTAGGACAGTCCATTGGGTTTCCTGAGCTGTGATCTATATAGAAGGAGACTGCTAGATCTTCTCTCCCAAGGAGCTACTGGCTGAGTTTGAACCACTAACCTTTCATTTAGCAGCCAACTTGCAAGCATGCTTATTTCCACCCTTTATCTTAGAGATTCAGTTATTTGCAAAAGACACCCTGAAATGTTTAATTAGTATAAAGGTTTGTGACAGGGAGACTGGTGGCAGATAAAAGGTCTTTATTTTTAAACTTATTTGTCTGCTTTTATGTATCATTATCACCACTAAGGACCACCCCTGCGCCTCTAAATAAAATCATGTAACTTTCAAATCACACAGTCTCATCTTTTCTAAAATCTTTCAATCCCTAGAGCTAAGACAAATACCAAGTTGCAACCCTCTGTGCTGGTTCTAGAAATTTCTTTCACTTATTTTTTCAGGGAAGAGAAAGGAGCATAGGGCAGCTTCACCTGCCAGGAAGCTACTTATTTCTGTTTAATAAGGGTGGTTTGTTTTAGCCTCTGGGGGTGGTTCACCACATTTCGCCAAGAGCTTAATGAAGAATTCTTTCACCAGATTTGTATCCTATGAAGAGGAGTGGGTGGGGTAGATGGTGGTTTGGATAAAGAGTTGACATTGGCAATTTGAAGTGAGCAAATAAAATTTAATCCAGGTTGTATTTCTTTTTCTCCTAGTCTGATATGGAGGAGGTGATGATGTTGATCAGCTCTGCCCTTGAGAAGGAGGAGGTTAATAAAATATTTTGATTCACCCATCTTCAACACGCTATTAAAAACCTTCAGATTATTACTTTTTAAAATGTTGGCTGTGTTTTCGAATTTTAAGCCCTGTGTTATTGCTAGGGCCACTGACTCAGTTCTCAGTCACAGTGACACTAAGTTCAACAGAAGGACATTTGCCTGATCTTGTACCATCCTTGTAATCTCTCTTGGGCCTACACCCGTTACTGTAGTCATTGTGTCAATGTGACAGGGTAAGCGGCTTCCTCCTTTTCACGGATCCTCCACTTTACTAAGCATGATGTCCTTCTCCACGAACTGGTCACTTCTGACATCCCCTGAATATGTGCAATGAAGTTCTAAAGGTACAAAATTTAGCAAGCGTGTGCTAGGAAGAACTGTAACCCCAATCCACACTGGAAATGGAAATTCTAAGGTGGGAAGGAGTCAAGGAAACACAGCTATTCTTCAGGGACAGGAGCCCAGAAACAGGTCCCAGCAGCACCGCACCGGGGCCTTCCCAGCACACCGCCCTCTGCAGGTGGCCCCAGTCACCTCCTCAACATGGTCAGGACGTCGGTCATGCTCCGCACTCTCTTCAGGAGACTGTCCAGCTTGTGTGGCTCCTCCTTCAGGAAACGCACAGCCTCCACCTCAATGCGGAGGATGGCGCGCATCTTGTTCTGTAGGGTTGGGAATTCTCCTGCAGGCCAAAAGCAGCAGATTAATTCTAGGAGGAAAACCCTCCACCCGCCAGTGTTTAAGGCTGAACTGTGTGGAGTTCCTTAAACTATGGTGCAGGCCAGCCATCTTCAGAAGGGAAAGGTTAGGGCAAAGAAAAGTATCAAAGGGAGTCAGGTTCAAAGAGACCTTGGGCAGGTCACAGCTCCTTTACCTACATTTCCCACCTGGACATTTGAGTACAGTCCCTTGTCATTGTTCCTTAGCACTGTATGAGTTTGGCACAATTGTCCCAGTGTATTATAAGAGTCTACCAAACAGACACTTAAAATCATCATTCTTCAGTCTTAGGCCCCATAGCACCTCTAAGAAGACAGAGTTTGTCTATTTTCCTTCAGGGATGTATCCCAAGTGCCTAGAACAGTGCCTAGCCTATGGTAGTTGCGGTGTGAATGAACGAATCCTTCATGAGCTGACAGGTTTTTAAATACAGCAGCAGCAGATGTCAGGCTTCTCCCCTCCAGGTCAAAGCTTACCTTTCAAAGTAGCCACGGCTTCTCCCACTTGTCGCAGGAGGAATGCGCCGTCCTCCACATCTTTCAGAGTGACCATTCGGCCAGCTGAGCCAGAGTCCTTCTTCAAGTCTTCCACAAAGTCCTCCAACTCACTGCAGGGAGCAAGCAGACCAGGGGATGGAACTAAGCGCCAAGGACCTCAACAAGGACAGGAGGGAGCAGCAGCAAAGCCGCTCAAGAGGCCAGAGTCTCTCACTTTACATTCTGTCCTATCCCCTTTCCTAGCCATCCCACATATATCGTAGAAACTAATTTTAGAAGAATAGGTTGTTTTGCTTTAAATCTTATGCTGAAGTAGAAAACAGATACAAGGAACTTTTGCCAGGACTCATTCACAGGCTGGGTATAAGGACGGCCAGGGGGACAAGCGCAGCCACATGACAAATGACCCACTCTTCATTTTTAGCATGAAAGAGAAGAAATAGCAAGCTATGGTGGAATAAAAGGAGGAGCATGAGTTGGTTTCTGTCAGGTTTCTCAACCTCATTTCTATTATGGGCCAGATACGAATGATGACACTTCACCTCTCATACTTTGGGTACATTGCTAGGAGTGGCTATTCCTTGGAGAGGGACATAATGCCAGGAAGTGTGGAGGGTTAGCAAAGGAGAAAAAGGCCCTCAACCCAGTGAACTGACACAGTGACTACTTCAGTGGGCTCTTGTGTGTCAGGAATTGTGAGGATGGCACAGGATAGAACAAGGTTCAGATCTTGTGTTTATAGGGTCACTATGAGTCATGCTCGACTCGAAGGCACCTGAAAACAACAACAACAAACAATTCTTTGTTGTGGGGACTGTGCTGTGCACTATAGGATGTTTAGCAGCATCCATAGCTTCTACCTACTAGATGTCATTAGCATGGTCTCCAGCTCGGGGCAATGAATGCTTCCAGACTTAATGTCCTCAAAAGAAAAGGAGTAGGCAAAACTGTCCCTGAGTGAGGACCTCTCGTTTATACAGACTGTTCTGTCATCAGTGATTGACCACTTTCCTCTCTGAGGGATAAAGAAATGACCACAGCCCTGATTCCTGGAGCATGTGTGTATGTGAGTCATAAACATATACACATTTAGGGCATGCCAGCTCTGACAGAGCCTAATTAAGATCTTTGAATACAGTCACAAAAGTGACCAACATCTTTCATCCTTGGCACATCACTAATCCAATTCTCAGAACATACCTGTGTCATGGCAGTTTGTCTTTGAAATATTTCTTTTTCTTTTCTTTGAAATCTTGTCAACAGAAAAACTGTTCTAAGAAATGCAGGCAAAGAGCTTTGAGGGATGAATAGCCAGCCACTAGGTGGCAGTAAGTGAACAACAGAATCGAGGGGACAAAACAAACCTCCACTTCTGAGACCAGGATGGAGTTGTTGATGCTGTCTACTTGTATTACAGAATATGTCCCCAGATTGCTCATGGCTACTTTTTGATGCAACAATGTTCCTTCAGTGGAGGGGAAACCTCCTGTGCTCAAAAAGTTTCCAGTGTCAGTGAACACATCAAACATTCCCGTGGCAGCTGCAACCCTGAGAACGCATGCTCTTACCAGTACTCTTACTATATAAATTCTGCTATGGGAACTTTTCCATCTTATACCCTCAAATTTTTTTTGTAATGTATTTACTTGAAATACAGACCAGACTTTGCCTAAAATCCTATCTTCGTCTTTTCTGCAGAATTTCTCTTGGATTTCATAACCCAGAACTCAAGAGACCCTTAAACACCATGGCTGTTCCTCGGTTGATCAGCTAACATACACTACCGTGGAATGCTATTACTGCACATAAAGTGGCACTTTGCTTTATACACCTATGATAGTTACTAAAAGCATTAGACATAACATTTGTTTAGTGAAACTGTAAAAGAGACAATGGAGCTAAAACAAATGGCAAAAAAGACATTTTCAAAGTCTTCTTCAGGGTTGAGCAGCAGGATGGGTACTTGAATGTCTTCCTAGGAACCAAAATGCTAAACAGCCAGATGTACTGTCAAACACTTCCTACAAAGGGACATCTTTTTGGTTGTTGTTGCTGTGTATCCAATCCGACTGGCACAACAATTAAAACCAGACCTGAGGGCTGCAGATTAAAATCACCCACCTTCGGCTTGGTAGCCTCACATTCTGTTTTAATTGTTTTTTTTGTCAAACATTCTCCTAAGTGGTATAGCACTGGTCTGTCCATTTGCTGTACAGAGTTAACTCATGGTTGCTGTGATACTGAACACTGTGACACTCATGTGTCAAATGTGATAATGGCTACCCATGGTGGACAGTGTTTGGTGGAGCTCCCTGATTAAAACAAACATAGAAGCAGGAGTGGTATCCACTTCTGAAATAGCTTGTCTCCGGAAACCCTATGAACTTGGAGAAACGATGAAAGTTATACAAGTGTTCAGGTCTTTCATTCATAGGGACGCTATGAATCGTCTATGACTTGATGGCACTTCACAACAATGAGAGAGCTCAATTGGCCTAGTGGACAGAAAGTGAGGGGTTCTGTTAGTTAACTAATTAGATCTTTAAAAAAAAGGAAATTCATTTTTGTCATAATTTTATTGGAAAAATTATAAAAATATATTAAAAGTGATATGCTTAAAAGAAATATTGAGGCCAAATTTTAGATAATTAGAGTATCATAAGAGCAGTTAAAAGAAATTACCATCTCACGATAGGAGATCTATCTGTCACACAAGTCTGAACTAAGTATTTGAGACATGAGATGGACAGTGTCCAAATGTAATTAATTAGGAACATAATAATTCAAATTATAATTTTTTTCCATTAGATTACTACTAAGAAGGGCATTCCGATTCTAATTAAACACACCAAGTTAGATGTTAAATGCCAACAAGCCAACTATGACTAATAGCAACCCTATGAACAACAGACCTGAACCTTGCCCTCACCTGCACCATTCTAACCATCTCTGCCACACCCAAGCCCACTGTTACAGTCACAGTGTCAATCCTGAAGGGTCTTCCTCTTTTCCCCTGGCCCACCATCTTTTCAAGCATGATCCAAGGACTAGCCCCTCCTGATAATGCGTCCAAAAGACCAAATTGTATCATCTTTGCCTCTCTGGAACATCCTGATTTAACTTCATCCAAGGCAGATTTGTTTATTGTTTTGGAGGTTCATGGTATAGGTAGTACTCTTCTCTACCACCACAATTTAAAGGCATCATGTCTTCTTTAGTCTTCCTTCCTTATTGTCCAACTTTCAGATATATGCAAAGCAACTGAAAATATTATGACATAGATCAAGATCACCTCAGTTTTTGAAAGGACATCATTGCTTTTTTATCATGTTGGCGAGGTTCTTGACAGATTTTCTCAATACAAACATCTTTCGATTATTTTTTTAAAAATGTAACACGAGTTTATTTATTTGCCACACACAGAAAATTCTATTTTCTTATGAACAATGGCTCTAACTCTGTTCTATGCCATGCTATCCTCATCACCTCTGACACACTTGAGCCCATTGCTGCATCACTGTATCAACCCATCTTGTTGAGGGCCTTCCTTTCATTCACTGATTCTCTACCTTTTCAAACATGAATGTCCAAGGAATGGCCCTTTCTAATAACATACCCAGAGTATTTGTGACAAAGTTGGTGTTCAATAGAGAGCGAGAATGTGATGGCTATTGTTATATGTTAACTTGACTAGGCAATGATTGTCAGTACTGTGTATCCATCCTTCACGTGTGATCTGAGCTACGGGAAGTTTCCTTGATAGTGAGGTCTACATCCAAGATAACTGAATGATCTGGCATCTCACTTGCTCTTGATCCTGATCCTACAACTGACTCATCATCTTCTGACCTCCGGTTCTTGGAATATAAGCCTGCCATCTGACCTGCACATTTTGAGATTCACCAACAGTCTCTGGGTTGACACTGAAAAGCCCTCTTAGTTAGCCTCTTAGTCTTTTGTAGGAATCAGCAACATGTAAAATTAAAAGGAGAAAATGGGGAAACTCAATGATAAGCATAACGTATTTAATCTCAATAAATTAAAATGAAGAGCCCAAATAATAGAGTACTGGAATTATCTTCCCATTATTCAAAAGTGACTAAGGAGTTTCAAGTCAACCCAAAAGGATGTGATTTTAATTCACTAGCTGCTCTGCGGGAGAAAGATGGGCCTCCCATGCGATTTATAGCCTCTGAAAACCCATGGAGGGTCAGCTAATAGTTCTGACTCCATGGCCCATAACAACAACATATCATGTGAGTCATGAAAAGTTCCAACCTCATGCCTGACCCTTGCACTTGGGACTTGCTAGTCTCTCCAACTATGTGAGCCATTTCCGTGCAATATATCCCATTTTCTATAGAATTCTATTTCTAGGGAGACGTTTGATTGGTTTTGCTGGAGAACTCAGTACAAGACAAATGACTACCAGTCAGAAAAGGCTTCCTTGTCCACCAAAAAAGATGAAACCCCAAAGCCTGGAAAAGGAGGGCGGCACTCACCACAACTTCTTGACGATCCTCTCTTCCTCATGCAGGTACTTCTGTCTCTCCTGCTCCACCAGGATGCGCTGTCGCTGCACGGGATCCCCCAGCCTCTTCATTGTTTCCACCACCCTGCTGCTGATTTCTAGCTCAGCCTTCTTTAGCATCGCCCTCAGCAGCTCCTGGTTCTGCAGCTGTTGAACAAAAGAAATCAACCCTCATTGGCTCTGCCTGACTGGAATGCCTTGCTGTCTTCAGAAGTGAGTCTGGGTAATCAGCTCCACAGCTGAATCTTTATTTCAAGGAGAAAGTAAGGGGGCAAAGTCTGTAGATAACATTGCTTCCACAAACAACCCTGGAGTGTCAGCAGCTAAGTGATAAGAAGACTTTAATGTCTATGTCGGCAAGAAAAAAAAATACAACAACAAAACTCATATTCTGATAAGTATATCATGGATAACTGGCATAAATTCAGGGGCATATTTTTATGGGGAGCAGTCAAGTACACGACCTTTGGAATCAAAAAGATCTTGAATCAAATCCCGAATCCTCTCATGAGTGTACTGAAGACCTAGCATAAGGTTCCTAGAGGAAGGTTAGCCTCTTTTGGTATCAGGAGGCTAATCTCTAAAGAAGGGAAACCACTTTCTCTGTCAGGGTAATTCTGAGGGTTAAAGGAGACGATGCTTTGTATAGGTACACAACAAATGTTGAGTTGTCTGGGGAGTCTTTCTGAATATTAGCAAAGAGAAAACATGTGCCCTCATGATTACCTAGGGAGCTCTGGTGGCCTAGTGGTAAGGAGTAGCACTGGCAACCCAAAGGTGTGTGGTTCAAATCCACCAGCTGCTATGTGGGAGAAAGATGGGCAATCTCTTCCTGTGCAATTAACTGCCAATGAAAACCTGCTAGAGAGTAAGATATGGGTCAGTTCTGACTTTATGGTACACAACAACTTGTTTGCATGATCCAACGTAACAAATACCATGTAATCGATGACCCACAACACAGTCCTTAAATTACGAGCTTAATGGTGGTGATAGTCATAAGTCTTGGCAACTTACCAATTTTCCTGAATTTTTACATGTTGTTGGGTGCCAACTATGACCCATGAGGACTCTATGAACAATAGATCTGAGCTTTGGCCTATCCTGAACCCCCCTCACAATCTCTTATATGCTCAAGCCCATTTTTACAGTCACTGTGTTAATCCTTTTGGGACTCGTCACTCTAACTATGGTAACAAGTTCTACAAAGCATCATCTCCTCTAACCCTCAGAATTATTCTGCCAGAGAAAGTGGTCCCCCATGTTTGGAGATAAATTGAGAGTTTTTACATGTAAGTCCACAATTTCCACATAGTTTCTAAAACACCCATGTTTCTTACCATTCCCCTCCACCACCCATAAAAGCAAAACCCAAATCTGTGGTCATCAAGTTGGTTATGACTCATTACCACCTTGTGTTTTAAAGAGAACTGTCTTAGAGGGTTTTCACCAACATTTTGGCTATCTGAGTGATTATGTGTTATACGTAGTTACTGTTCAAAATGACTTCCCTTTGCCTTCAGCTTTGACTTTTTACCACATAGCTGGGTGGAAACACGCAAAGTGGGTGTACAGTCTATCCTTGAGAAGATTGGCCAGTTTTGTCAATCTATCAGGTTTAGATTTAGAACATTCAGCAGCATAAATGGAGAATTTCCCACACTAGCAAGAAGCAGTAGAGTATGCAGCATGTCCCTTAGGAACATAGATCCCTAGGCCAGTCAGACAGAGAATAATTGCTCCTGTGAAGAACTAGAGAGGAATGGGGATAGAGCTGACTTGGGACAGGTGCTCCTCAGACCCAGAGTCAAAAGTCTTTGCCCACACTAGCTGGAGGAATCTGGAATAGAAAAGCCAGAATTGATAGGACAAAGGATGCTTAGTACTCATCTAAAGTCAAGAGGTTGAAGTTTCAAGGCCCTACACACATGCTTAAGAGGCTATACTGAATGAAGACTTTTAACCTGCTTACTTCTCTAGGCATGGAGAAAGGATACAGCCCTGATGCATGCCTTTCCTGATGTTAAACCAGAGTGTTCCCTTTTTCTGTTTGAACAACAGCTTTTTAGTCTAGGTATAGGTTTCATGTAAGCACAATTAGGTATAGGTTTCATGTAAGCACAATTAAGTGTTCTGGAATTCCCATTCCCAATGTTAGCCATAGTTGGTTATGATCCATACAGTCAAATTATTCTGAATAATCAATAAAACATAAATAGAATAAAATATTCTTCTGTTATTCTTAATGATATCACTGGTGCTATGGACTCTTCTAAATCCAGTCTGAACTTCTGGCAGTTCTCAATCAATGTACTCTTCTAGCCATTTTTGGATGACGTCCAGCAGTATTTTGCTTGCTTTATTTGCTTTAACAGGGAACAAATACAGATATCTTCCAGTAAGTTGTCCAGGTAACTTTCCCTCAAATTTCCTGGCACAGACTGGTGAACATGTCCAGGGATGCATCTGTTAGTTGAAACATGTTAGTTGGAATCCTTTCTATTCCTAGGGCCTTATTTTTTTGCCAATGTATTCAATGAAGCTTGGACTTATCCCCTTATTACCACCAGCTCTTGCTCATATGCTATTTTCTGAAATATTTCAGTTTCAATAAATTTTTTAGCACAGTGACAATATGAATTCCCTCCTTCTTCTTTTGATGCTTCCTGGATCACTCAAGATTTTGCACATCGCATCTTTTAGTATTTCAGCTTGAGGTTTGAATTTGTTTTTCAGTTCATTCACCTTGAGAAATGCTAAGCAAGTTCTTCCTTTTTTATTCTTCAACTCCAACTCTTGGCATATTCCTTTATTCTACCTTGATTTGTCTTCTTGCACTGCCCTTTGAAATATTCTGTTCATGTCTTTTACTTTGGTTTCTCTTTCCTTTGACTTCTTGATGCTCAACTGAAATTTTTAGAGTCTCTTCTAACATCCATTTCAGTCTTTCCTTTTCCATCTGTCTTTGTAATGACTTTGTTCTTCAAGGCTAACATCTCAAGCTCGTCTGGTCTGTGGTCATTATAGTTCAAGGTTTTAAATTCATTCTTGAGATAGTTTTTAAACTCAGATAGGATAAATTCCAGGTCATAGTTTTGTCCTTGTGGACTTGTTTTCATTTTCTCCAATTTAAATTTGAACATGTGAGCTACCAGTCCTTGGAGAGGGATATCATGTTGGGAATGTAGAAAGACAGCACAGGAGAGGAATACCCTGGATAAAATGCATTGACATAGTAACTGGTGAAATGGGGATAAATGTGTCAGAGTCATTGAGACTGGCTCAGGAAAAGGCAGGGCTCAGAGCTACTTAACCTAGGGTCGCTATGAGTCACAGGTGACTCGAGGACACATAACAACCACAGTAACAGGTGCAGGAGTATAGGAGCCATATGTAATCCCATAGGAATTAGTTTTGTACTGTGTATGTTATTGATGGGGACAGTTCCTTCTTGTGGAGTTAATAGAAGTCAGAAGCAGCTGTTCCTATGTTGATGTTATTTTCTTTTTCTTTTTTTTTTAATATTTAGCCATTATACCACTAGGGCTCCACTGGAAGCTATCTGTGTCACACAGAGACCTTACAGAGTATTAGAAATGCAGACTATGCATAAGGCTTCACAAGAATCTTATAGTCTAATAGTTGAATCCTATTTCCCAAGAAGCCACAATTTTAGTGTTTTTTCCAGAGTGGGACAAATTTATCAGCCAACATCAATGAAAAATATTATCACAACTAACCTAAAAAAATAGTTATTATATTACAAATTGAGATCATTTAGATGGCAGCTAACAACAGTAAGAATAATTTCATGCTGCTATTGTTGTATGTCATCCAGTTCATTACTACCCCTCAGAACTGCTGCTCTGTGGGTTTTCCACACTGTATTAGGGTGGAATGTTGACTCACTGTTGGGTATGATTTGACTGTATTCAGCCTCCTCTTTTAAAACGTATTTGGTCAGTAGTATGGGGCTGGAATCCAGTTTGGAAGTTATCTGGGAGGGCTGGATTCTACAAAGGTTTGTTTTCTGTGGCCCTCAGGCATGGTTTTAATTGTTTTTGATCAAACATTCTTCTAAGTGGTATAGCCGTGATCTGTCCATTTGCTGTACAGAGGTAATCTGAGCTTGCTGTGATGCTAAACACTGGGGCACTGACGTGTCAAATGCGATAATGGTTACCCATGGTGGACAGCGTTTGATGGAGCTCCCCAATTAAAACAGGCTTGGAAGCAGGAGTGGCATCCACTTCTGAAATAACTTGCCTCCAGAAATTCTATGAACATGGAGAAACGATGAAAGTTATACAAGTGTTCAGGTCTTTTGTTCATAGGGTTGCTAGGAGTCTTCTACAACTCGACAGCACCGAACAACAACAACAACTTCTACAGGGGCTAAACACCGGGCCAAACACTGGGCCATTTCTCCACAGAGTAGGTTCAAACCTTTTGGTTAGCAGCACAGCACTTAGTCATTGTGCAACCATTCCCAAATTACAGTTTATATTATAGTTTATCTAAAAGTATCTTTACAGTCCCTATTTGGTGCACAATTGTAATCAAAGTCACCTCAAAAAAAAACAAAACAAAACTCCACCTATCTTTGTCCAAAAACATTAGCCACTGAAAATGTTATGAAGCACAGTTGTACTTTGGTATGCATGGGCCACCATAAGCTGAATAAAAACTTAAGAAACAAAACCAAACAAACAAAAACAAGGGCAAAACCACTTCTCTTAAAATTTCAATTAGCTGTTAATGCTTCCTTTGCTTTCTAGACTCTTAGACAGCAACTTTCCATCCATGAGAATGATGATGTCTTTGTAAACTGCTCATTATCTATGCAAATTGAGGGAACATGCAATCTGATTATGTTGCTTTCTTCTTGAAACCTCACCAATGAAATTTTCCATTTCTTTTGACTATCAGCAAAGCTTTGCAACAGGGGCTGAAATCTAAGTCACCACTGCCTTCCAACTCCAGCCTTAAGAGAGATGCCTTGGCTAAACTTCTAGTTTTAACAAGTAGAAGCTGTAGGTAAACTATTAATCTTTCTGTGCCTAGCCACCAAAATAGGTGGTTGTCGCCCATATCTCATTGGCTAGTAGTGGAGAATAAGGAAGACAATAAAATCAAATGCCTACAAT